ATCTATCTATCTATCTATCTATCTATCTATCTATCTATCTATCTATCTTCTATCTGTCTGTCTATTATCTATCTATCTATCTATCTATCTATCTATCTATCTATCTATCTTCTGTCTGTCTATTACCTACCTACCTATCTATCTATCTATCTATCTATCTATCTATCTATCTATCTATCTACCTACCTACCTACTGTCTGTCTATCATCTATCTGTCTGTCTGTCTGTCTATCATCTATCTATCTATCTATCTATCTATCTATCTATCTATCTCTCATCTATCTATCTATCTATCTATCTATCTATCTATCTATCTATTTATCTCTTATCTATCTATCTATCTATCTATCTATCTATCTATCTATCTATCTCTCATCTATCCTTTCTATCTTATCATCTGTCACCCATCCACCTATCGTCTCTGAGTAGGAATTTGCACAAGAAATGGAACCAAACAGTACTTTCCCAGTGCTGTACACCTATTCATCCTCAAAACTACATTATGTATGTTTGTCTGTTTTTAGCGATGCTGTGATTTCAGATGGGGCTTAAGGAAGTAGCTGGAGTGCATTTGTGAGCTGATCATGGGGCAGGAAGGACTTGGTGCTTGGGGAATACCCTGGCACAGACAGCCCACAGTGGGCCCTGTGTTAAGGCCTGCAGGCCATGGCATGGCTTCGGCCTCAGTGGCAAGCCCAGGCACTCACCTCTGACCACTCTGATGCCTCCCAGATAGACAGGCAGTCCTGGCCTTCACAGCTCTGTACTGGGGTCGGCCGGGGTTCTGAGCAGTAGAGGGGCCGAGTAGTGACATGTGTCCCGTTCTGTAGCTGGTATACGCAAGTCACCTCCCGATGTTGGACGCCCTTCTCACAGGTTGCTGAACAGGGGCTCCACTGACCGGCCACCCACCTGCCCAGAGGGAGAAAGGACAGGAAGAAAATAACCCGGTGGTGAGTGAGTGGTGAGAGAGACAGATCTAGAGAGCTTTGTCACCAACTCTGGAAAGAATTCTGGAGCTTCAGAACCCAGGGTAACCTGACCGGTCATCTAGTTCAGTGGCCTCTTTGGTATAGGGCGCTTTCTGCTACAACACTCTCACAGAAGGTTAGGTAATATTCCAGCTGCTCCCTCCCTTTCTCCCTATAGTAGGATCATACAACCTATCTGTTGTCATAGCACATGCTTAGTTCAGTGGAGCGTGAGTAGACATGAAACTGGTCATGTCTCAGCACCAGGAGGATACTTAATGTGTGTGCATGTGTATGTGTGTGTATATATATGTGTGTGTGTTTGGAGGTCAGAAGAAGGTATTATCGTATTCCATATCTTCTCCCCTATGCTTCAGGGGCAGGGTCTCTTCCTGAATGGGGATGGTGGTGGTGCTAATGTTTTGGCTAGGCTGGAAGGCAGAAAGCCCAGCAGTTCTCCTATCTGCATCTCCCCTTAGAGCTGGGGTTACGGGTGTTTGCAGAGACACTCAGCTTATTATGTGGGTGCTAGGATGCAAATTCTCACCTTCATAATTGTGGACCAAGCATTCTGAACCACTAAGCCATTCCTCCAATCCCACATTCAGGGGACGCTTTCAATGTGGTTATGAGGTAGGTTGGCTGATTCTGTTTCCTGCCTTCACATGAGAATCTAGCACTGTTTTAAGGCAATGTGAGGTTTGCTAACACAGCGTTAGCTGACTGATACAGTCCGCACCAAGGCCTCTCCAATGTCTGAAGAAGTACACCGAGACTAGGTCCTCCCTGCTGTCCATGGTCTGAGGAGCCTCCAGACTAGAGTCAGTAACTTGTGACAATGGCATCGTGTGGGCCACTGGAAAATGGGGGTGAGGATGGCACTTGAAAATGTTTTTCTAAAACTGTGTACTAACCCACTGCTTCAGTCACCTGTGAATGGGCCCCTCTGTTGGCTTCAGAGTATTGGGGAACAATTGAGCAGTTTGGACACCACAATTCACTAGGACACAAATGAAGAGAATGCTCTTTTGAGGCTACCAGGGAACCGTTCCTGCTTGGTCCTTGGGTGATGAGCAATCTTTAGTCTCTCTTTCATCCTTCCTTACATATTCCTAGTGCCCAGGATCTTAATACTCATCAAAGCATCTCCGACTCTAGATGGTGAGCATGGATAGCCATTCCATTCTTTGTTAAGATAGCTTTGAATGCCATTTAATGAGATCCCCGCAGGCCACCCCACTGTTTAGAACCATTGGCAGACATTCCAGAACCTCTGGAGTGGGCACTGGGGGGTGTCATTCATTTGTCCCTCTCTAGTTCCAGGTAGCAAATGTCTTCCTGTTGGACCCACCAGTGACGCAGATGGATAGAGGTAACTGTCTACTGTGTGGTATGGTAGTGAGATAAGAACACATACTGTTTACAAACTCTTGACCACAGCATCCAGCCCACATTAGTCGGTGTTCACTCAACTCCATGCACACTCAGCCCCATGTGCACTCAGTTCCATATGCACTCAGCCCCATGTGTACTGAGCCCTGTGTGCACTCAGCCTCATGTGCACTCAGCCCTGTGTGCACCCAGCTTCATGTACACTCAGCCCCATGTGCACTAAGCTCCATGTGCACTCAACCCTATGTACACTCATCCCTGTGTACAGCCAGCCCCATGTACACTCAGCCCCGTGTGCACTCAGCCCTGTGTGCACCCAGCTCCATATACACTCAGTCCTATGTGCACTTAGCTCTGTACACACTCAGTTCCATGTACACTTAGCCACGGTTGTGCAATGGTCTCTTTGGGAGGTAATGGGAAACAGGGCAATGAGTAAGTATTCGATTTCTACTGGCTACTCCCACAGGACTAAAATATCATCTTATACATTTCTTCCTGTTCTAGGTTTCGAGGTAACAAGGATTCTCAAGCCTTCCTAATTGTCATGTTCTGATCCTCTCCAAGAGGATAAATAGGAAATATGGACTGAGCAGCAGGAGAGAAGCCTGGCATTTGTTTTGAAATAAAGATGTTGTCATCATAAATGATTTCTAATGTTGTGTTATTTCTATATTTAAACATTTTCTAAAGATAATTTTATTTATCTTAATGTGTATGTGTAGAGTGTGCCTCAATTGTATATATGTGCATCATATGTGCAGGATCTTTTGTTGGTAGGAAGAGTTCCAGGCCCTTGTGGGCAGCCATATAGGTGCTGGAAATCTAACCCAGGTCTTCTATAAGAGCAGTGAGTGCTCTTAACTACTGAGCCAATTCTCCAGTTCCTAATTTCTGTATATTTAGGCAGCCTGCTCATGCCTGTCAGCTCTATTTACTACTCGACTTATTTTCTCTCACGCGCTGACTCCCAGGTGACAGGCCTGACTGCTTCAATTGACTCTGGAAATATAAATGTCAGGTGTAAGGGCGAACCTTGGTGCTGGTGCAGCTGAGCTGACCCCACCTGGAAAGGCAGCTCTGAATCTCTTCAATCTTTTGTATTCCCCAAGTTTGAAAAGAATCTCTGTGCCCTACTCATGGGACTGTGGCCTGCTCTAGGTACCCGATGGACCTCCAGTTCCAGTATCCCACAAGATGCCACCCTTCAGTTACTGCCTACATTCTGAGGGTCCATCGTCCTGTCCTCAAGAGAATATGGTAAGCTACTTTGGTCCATAAGGATCACATCAGGGGCTCATGGAGTCCAAGGGGAAAGCAGAAGGAAGGAAATGCTGACCCAGGCTACAGCACGGGCAGATTTTGAAGACAAGCTGATCTTGTGACAAAAGATCATCACCATATCTACACTTACAAGAGATACTGGAGTAGCTATGACGGTCAATACTGTCAACTTGGTAGGATTATTGAAGAGCCAAACCTTTGGGCGTATCTGTGGAGGATTATCAAGATTTGGTTGAGGTGAGGTTATCTACCCGAAGTGTGAGTAGGATCATTTGAGCTTCAGCCCAGACTGAATCAATGGAGACAGTAAAGGGAGAATTAGCATTCATCTCTTTGCATCTTGACTACAGAAATAATGTGACCGGTTGCCTCACGCTCCTGCTGCCATGTTTTCCCGGCCATGATGGAAATGAAAATAAACCCCCTTCTCTTGAGTTAGTTGCCTTTGTCATGCATTTTGTTATAGACAAGAAAAGTAACTAATTCAGCGGTCAGACTCAGGAGTAGAATGGGGTCATTCGGAGGCTAAGGGGGTGGGGACACTAGGTACCTGCGGAGCCCTCCTGCTGGCAGCACACCTTCCTACCTGTGGTATGTGCTGAGCATTCTACGGGGGTCACTGCATCATCTGGGGAGACCTTTCAAGCTTGTTTTGGTTGCGTTTTAGGTAGACATATTTCTGCTTCTATCGGAAAATACCGTGATGAGGCATGAGAAGAGAAGGGGTTTCTGTACCCTTCACCATTCTATTGGTTTTTTTGGCAGCGAAGAGCAGGCATTTCCCTGGAAGAACTACGGCTGTAGAAAGCCTCCTTCCGCCGCCTTGAGCACCTGGATGCTACCGTCCCATCAGCACTATACTGTGTAACTGAAGTTCCAAAGCCTCAGATTTGGGAAAGGAGCTCTGCGGGATATTTTTTTTGACACAATTATAACTTAGGCCATTGTTTTCACTTGTGGCCCCTAAACACTTTAAGGGCACATAGCATTTATTAACCAAGTGGGTAGATAGCTCTTCCAAGCCACAGAGCCAGAATTCTCTAGGAAGGCATGGTGAACCTGTCTGTCTGCCCGTCCGTCCGTCCATCTGTTTGTCTTTCTCAAAGCTGCCCCCTCCCCATTTTTCTGTGATTCAGAACAGAATCCCTTTAGGTCCACAGCAGACTCGTTTTCTGTGCATAGACAAACTGAGCATCCTTTTCCAAAATGCTGAGAAAGAAATGTTTCAGATTCCTGTTTTGCTTTGGATTTTGGGATATTTGCATATATATCAGGCAGTCTCCCAGACATTAAAAATCCCAGTCCAAACACAAAATTCACACATGCATGCATATACATACCCCTGAAGGTAATTTTATGCAGTATTTCTAGTGTTTTGACCACAATCTGGTCCTGAGGTCAGGTGTGGAATTTTCTACTTAGGGCACCATGTTGACACTGAAAAGTTTTTAAATTTGTGGCATTTTGGATTTTGTAGTAGCCAACTTGAGTCTGTGCTTGAAAGTTATACTATTCTAATTAGATATTCTGGGTAGATCAGTGACTTTAGTACACACACATGCACACACACACACACACACACACACACACACACACACATAGGGAAAACACAGCTCGGATGGTAAGCATGAAGACTTGTTTGATTCCCACTCACATACAATGCGAAGCATGGTGGTATGTGGTTATAACTTCACAATGGGAAGGGGGTCCCTGGGGCTTGCTGGCCTGACAGCCTAGTCTACTTGGCGAGTTCTAGGCTAGTGAGAGACCCCACTTCAAGAAAAATCTGAATTGTATGTTGACTAAAGAAAGACAACCAAGTTTGACCTTTGGCATCTGCCCATGTATGCTAAACATGCATATCCACACACACGAACACACACATGAAGCAATTTATCACATATATGTGTATGCATAGCCATAGTTCACATACATATGTATATACACTTTACTTTTTGTTATTTGTTATTTAGTTATTTTGCTGTAACAAATAACTAAAAACCTAATAGTGCAAGACAACACCAACTTGTGATCTTGTGGGGCTGCCAAGCGTCCTTCCTCCCTGTCTAACACCAACCAAAACCTCAAGGAGCAGTGTAACCCCGGAGCCTCCCATCTGCTCAGGACTGTGTCCCTCTCCCGCCTCCTGGCAGACTGGAGCTAGCAACTCTGAGGAGAACACTCTGACAGCTTTCCCACGTGCCATTTATAGTTTTCCTGAAGCCAGGAGACCACTTTTATTAAACAGATGTGTGAAGAAAGCAC